ACCGTGGATGCGCACGTAACATGAAAATGCTGGGGGCAAAAAGGGGGGGGGGTGTGGGTAAACTTAGCTAAACTTTGAAGGAACGTAAACTTTGAAGGAACCGCTCCATGTTGTGCCAGGCTCCTCAATCTACGCGTTCGGAGGGATGAGACGCTCTGCCAGCAATTTGGGTTTGGTTATGAGAGGACCTCATGGATTTGGATGCTTGCCCTTAAGGATTCTCCTAAGGATGCGTTTTGAAACGCCCCCGTGTGTTCGGGCTCGTATTACGAGAGCTTCTCAAGGTGGGTCACCTTTCGGGGAGTTCTTTACGTGTAGTATTATGAGGATAGAAAGGTCTGGCAGGGACATTTCAATTCGAGAAATTCCGAAAAATGGTAACTGAGGAGTATTACTCATGGCGATCAGCTGTGAAATCCTAAGCCCTCAATCCTAAACCTTAACCCTAAAATCCCGCTAAACCTTGGCAAAGTCCTCCTCCCCTAGCCCCTTAATACCCGGAACCTACGTCCCTTAAACCCTGAACCAACGATCCAGCACAAATTCCAAAAGATTTACCTAGACACCCGAATGCCCATCGCAATAGCCCATGTACCCATGATTTTGTGGTTAAAGGGTGATTATATGTTATCATCATGTGTACGTCCTAAACCCTAAACTCCTGAACCCTCAACCCTAAACTCCTGATATGCCCTTAACCCCAAACCCTAAACCTTAAACTCCTAACCCCCAAACCCTAAACTCCTGATATAAACCCTAGACCCCAGACCCTAAACCCTAAACTCCTGATATAGACCCTAGACCCCAGACCCTAAACCCTAAACTCTCTACCAGCTCTTGAGGCCGCCGGGGGGTTCTGGGTGCAGCTCACCGCTTCGATCTGAGAAGGGGGAGCTGGGAGGCGGCGCTTCGCAGGGGTTTGGGTATATTATCCCCCTATAATGGAGAATCAAATGGAAAAGAAAATGGAAAATGAAATGGAAACTGGGGGAATATAGGGATTTAAGTGAGGGGGGCACAGGGTTTCGGATTTAGGGTTCAGGGCTTAGGGTTTGAGGGCTTGGGGGTTTGGGGTTTGGGATTGGGGGTTGAGGTTTTGAGGGTTCGGGATTTAGGGGTTTGGGTTTGTGGTTTAGGGATGTTTAGGGGTGGATGGAGAAGATCTTGCGCTACTTAGGATGCCTGAAATATTGTAATTGATTGGGGTGTAATGCGTTGAGTGCACGATTTCCTCCATCCACAGGAGGATTTGGGGTTTTCACAAATTCAGGGGTCCCTTATGGGGAGATTCTTATATTCAGGGTTATAATATTTCGGAGTACATAGTGGGACTTGTGGATAAGGCTGTAGAGAATAGGGTTTAGGGATTCGTGTCAGAGATAAGACGTGAAGTGCCCATGTTGAGACCGTCGTGTTCTTCAAAAGGCCATATCCTTCATTTTGCTGTTTGGCAGAGAGCCTTGTTCAGTTAAGTGGTGCTGGAGTACTGAGCCCCGTAGTGAACATGACTGGTGTAGTTCACGCATTTGCGAGAAGATGTACTTTGTATACACAACCTGTAACAGGCAAAGTCCTATGACTTAAGGTCTTTGGATGAACCATCACCGGTTTTTCGGGCTCCAGTGGTCATGGATGAGGGCTTCTGCATGCCCAGGCGCTCCCGCCGATGCGTTGCCCACGCTGCGACCTTGCCACCGCGGTACGGGGCGGCGAGATTTTTGTCATCGGTGGCAGCGAGGCCTCCGGAGAGGCGAGCAATGTCGTTGAGCGCTTCCACGTTACCGCGCGACAGTGGGGTCATGGTCTCAGACCATGACTTTGATGTCTTGCTTTCATGTAGCTCAAGAACAGGCCTCAAATACTGAGGTGCGAGTCAGAGCTTGGAGCTTTGGAGCTGCTATGAGCTGCTTGTGCTTACTCAGGATCCGCTCCGCCGCTTCTCCAGCAACGCCACTCAGCCAGTGCCACTGCTCTGGGCTACGACCTCTTCGTGTTTGGCGGTGGGGCTGTAGCAAGGCAGGGCCCACTCGAAGGGTCGACCGAAAAGCAAGGAGACTCAATGATCGGATTGTGCGCGCCTTTTTTTGTTCTTTTGGCGCCATTTTGTCCCAAGCCCCGCTTCCGGGCCGTTGTGGCCGAGAAGATGTGAAACCATCAATCCAAATTCGCTGGAATCCATTGTACGCTCTTTATTGTGTTTGTTTGCCTTTTGCACTGCACAGCCTGGGAGCTGAACGTCAGCAGAAGCATTGAGATGCCGTGCTGCAAAAACACACATATCAACACAGGGATTGAGGCAAAACCGCATCTGTTTGGTTCTCTTGTTCAGGGAACTAGGGCCTAGGGGCTGCGCACAGATGCTTGATGGTTGCTGCGAGGGACCACCTCTTGGCGGATGCAGTGTCCCCTCCGATGGTTGAGCACCTGACGGAGGTTCTGGAAGTGTTGAAGAATCAATGCAATAATATGGGAGTTTCCCAAAGTTAGGGGTACCATTTTGGGGTGTCCTTGTAATTAATGGTATAATTTATTGGGGTCTATATTGGGGCACCCTAATTTTGGGAAACTACCATATAGTTGAAGACGTGAAGACAAGTCCCCGCACATACACGGCTCCAGTTTTTTTCGGATGCTAACTCCAGGGATCCTTGATACGGGATCTGCATACTTTGGCACTTCCTAAATGATCTAAGTCGCATGCCTACTTGCAGGGTCAGGTGGACTTCTTAGGAGGTAGGTTAATAACCTTACTTATAAACCATATAACAATAACCCAGTTATCGGACCTAAGCCCAATTCCCCTAGAACCCCATAATCACCAGTAACCCTACAACCCCTATAAATCACAAGATCTAAAGCCTAAAGCCCTGTAACCTGATCCCCGAAAACCCGCCCACCTTAAAGCCTAAATCCACCAATGGCTCCTGAACCCTAAACCCTTAACCCTAAACCCTAAACCCACCCTAAACCCCTGGTAGGACGGCTGGGAGACGCTGGAGTCCCCGACTTTGCAACGGCACGGCTGCGGCGCCGCAGCTGCGGCAGGGCAGGCCCGCCCCTTTCAAGGGGATGTATGGTTACCATAATATTAATATAGGGATACATGTGAAAAAACAAGGATATGTGGGAATAGGGGTATGGTTACCATATACAGGGTCCTATAAATGAGTACGCTTGCTCTTCCCAGAGCCGATCTGCGCATTACTGTTTGCGTTTCATCTGACACACCTGTCGCAGTCTGAATTGCGGCTGAGGTGTTTGTTTTCGGTGGCTACTCCTCTGAGTTTGCTGAAGTCGACCGGTGGGATGCAGAGTCCCAGCAGTGGGAAACCCTCCGTCTCCCTGGGAGACTCCGAGGGGTCTGTGCCGCTGCCGCGGCCATCTCTTAGAGACTGGTCTCGGTTAGCCTTTCCTTCAGACCTAGCTTTGACGGTGGGAACACCAAATGCGCTTTTTCAATGAGTGGAGGTACTGATAAGGGAGTCTCTCAAAACACCTCGAATCTAGCCTTCAAGAGAAACTCCTGGAATCCTGAAACAGTCTTTCTATAATATCCGTTATCCCTGGAATCTCTACCCCTACTTTGAGAAGCTCCCATGACGCCACTCTGGCACATGGTGTTCCCAGTTCCAGAATCTTTAGCAACGCCTACCCGGGTGATCCGGACAGAGTCTAGATGCCGAGCACCTGGCGACGAGCGGGCAAGGATAAACGTGATCACTCACCATCATCAGTGTGCTTGCAACACGGACGCATCCAGCCTGCCATTTGTATCCAGAAGACTGTAGTAGCTTCCATTTTCTTTTCCATTATCCCGATGTAAAGCCGCAATATAACCCTAATGTATTGTGGTTACCATTTTCTTTTCCATTATCCCAATATAAACTCCCAATAGAGCCCTAATATCCTATCGTACTTTCCACTTTCTTTTCCATTATCCCAGTATAAACCTGGCTGGTGCAAGTGCAAGAGCAGCCCTCTGAGACCTGAGGCGGGACGCCAATTGCATTAAGATCTTCTGATGATGCTGAACAGCGGTATTTCATCTACCGTGCCAACCTGAGCTACTTCAGCCATGTCAAGCACTCAACACAGTGCAGAAGATCCAGGGTTCAATCCGCTATGATGCTGCCTACTTTGCAAAACGGACTGTCTGAGGCTACGTCTATGAAATGGGGAAGATCCTGAATGCAGATCCCACTCGAATCCAGGCATGGTTTGTCAGGTCGGCTGTGCAGATTCGGAGCTATCAGCTTCGCATTACAGGTAGCATCGCTCTCTTCCAATGGCTCCGTGGTGGTGAACACAATCTTCAAAGTAGTGGGGAGTTGGGATGTGCGGAGCCTAGAAGTGCGAGTTTCACAGGCTTTTGACGGGGAACACCAAGCGGTTCGGACCGCGTGCCTGCCGAGCTGTTGCCGAGGACATCAAAGCTACGGACGAGCGCAGTCCGTGGGGTCTCATCTCGCTACTGCCTGAAACCCAGTGAACATGCAAAAGCCAGCAACGATGCAAGGGAAATCAGGGAACAGTGACTAGTACCATTTTCTTCTAGAGCAGAGTATGATCCTCATCCTTAGTGAGCCTTAGTGACCTTAGTGCTGAGATGTTCCTTTAACTCCAGACCCGCACCATTTTGTGAGAAGCCCAGCCCCAACACCGTTTGATTTGGATTCTTGTAGACCCTCAATCCTAAACCCTAAAACCTAAAACCTAAACCCTAAAACCTAAACCTAAACCCTCAAACCTAAAACCTAAACCCTAAAACCGAAAACCTAAACCCACACCCCAAAAACCACCAAGACCAGAGTGTCTCGTCAGGAAAGCGCTGCAAGCGGACACCAGCTCGCAGCTCTATCAAAGCCCGGGCCTCTCCCAGTCATGTGGGATAGGGGTTATATGGTTTAGGGTTTAGGGTTTAGGGTTTAGGGTTGGCAAAATTATGGTCCCTTTTTGGGTACCCTAAAATATTATGGGCCGTACTATAATGGGGACCCAAAAAGGGACCATAATTTTGACAACCACCCATATAGGGATACTGGAAAAGAACATGGAAACTATTACATTATGTTGGGGTTACATCGGGGTTATACATGGAGTATTTTATTTGGGGATACTATGGTACCAATTATAGAGTAAGATTCTATCCTCCTTTTGGGGTATAGTATTTTATATAAGGAATATAATCTTACTGGGTTTAACCACAAAAAAATATGCTACTCTAGTCACCTGCAGCTTATGCCGGGAGTTCCCAAAAAGGGAATGTAATTATACAGGGTTCTAAAAGGGTTCTATGGGGGTATATAGAGGATTCTATAGGGGGATTATATAGAGGATTCTATAGGGGATTCTATAGGGAGAAGTAGGGCTATATACGGAATCACATAGGGGCACCATCCCCTCACACTCAGTCAAGTTTCATGAAATCTTACCTGGCTCATCTCCTTGTGTTTCATCCTAGAGGTCTAAGCCTGAACCCTTTCACCCTAAATCCTTGAAGCCTAAACCCTAAACGCAGTGTCCTTGTTGCTTTGTTGTTCCTTCCTTCTCAGGCCCCTTCTTCAAGTTCATTGATCGGAGTCCTATGCCAGAGCAGTGGACCCAGAAGCTGGTAATATGAGCTACGGACTAAAGCTAGGTAGGGTGGGAACCTATAGGGGGATGTCTAGGAGGTTCAGGGGGGATCTTTAGGGAATATTCTATATACTAACCTAATCAGAGGGGGATGTCTAGGAGGTTTAGGTGGGACCTTTAGGGAATATATTGCATAACTTTAGTCCAGAGCTTATATAGGGTTCTATGAGGACATGTAGGGATATGACCCCAACGAAGGAGGATCATATGGAAAATACAAGGGACAATTTCATGGATACTTGACACCCTAAACCCTAAACCCTAAATGGTAGTTTCCATTTTCTTTTCCATTATCCCAATATAACCCCGATATACCCCTATATCTGCTGGCCATGAACTTTTAGTGCTCAGTAGGGACGGATATTGGGGTTACGTTGGGGTTACATTGGGGTTATATTGGGATATATTGGGATACTGGAAATAAAATGAACACTACTATTTGGGGCCTAGGGTTTAGCGGTACACAATCCCCAGTCAAAGTCTACAAGCCATTTCCTCATTCCTCATTCCCCGTAAACCTACCAGGGAGATAGTGCCACAACCTGAGGCCCTTGCCGATACGGCTGTGCGAGGATGGTGTCTACAGAGTCTTCTGCAGTTTGCCCAGCTCTTTCTTTCAGATGTTTGAAGCCCTAAAAACCTGCATACCCCACATCCTCGGACGCCTATGTGTATCCCCGCGTGTATTATAGTCTAAACTCTTTAAGGGGGTTATATAGGGGATTATCTCGGGGAGTACTACAGGGGTTAGAAAAGGGGATGCTAAGAGTTCGGCATGTTCACCTGGAAGTACTCAGTCCCTAAGCCCTAACTCCTAAACTCTAAACCCAGACCCTTAAGGGTCCCGCTAGGCGTCTAGACTGTAGCCTATGTATTCCATTCCATCTTGCAAGATGGTCGGCATTTGTTGGGTACTGCCCACCCTCCGTAACAGTTGGATAATAACTATAGTATGATTATATATAGCCCTTAATCGGACCCCTGATATAGACTGTTACTGGGTGGGGGCAGTACCCAAGGCATTTGTTCTATTGATCTCTGCGCTGCCAAGCTGTTGTCAGACCTGCAAGGCGGTGCCAGGCAGCGAAGTTCTTTAAGGGCCAGTGGTTAATAATAATACTAGGAATAATAACGGTAACAATTTTTTGGGTTTAGAGTTTTGGGTTTAGAGTTTAGGGTTTAGGGTTTAGGGTTTAGGTAACAATAGTAATAATGATAGTAATCGTAGTTGAGGGTTCAGGGTTTAGGGTTACTGTGGGGCACGACCCAGCAAGTGGGCGGGGCTCATGTTCGGGGCTCATGCTACAGTAAGAACCTAGAGGAATGCATTTAGAGTTTAGAACTGGGGGTCCCGAATTTTTGAACTTGAGGGCGTTTATCCTAAGCCCTCAACCACAGAGGTCCATACACTGGCGGCATCATGAGCACTGGCGAAGCGCTGGGCTCCTGGAAAGGACTACGCGGTTTAGGGTTTAGCATGGATTGTTTAGTTTGTCTTGTATAGAGGTTATATAGGGAATAATGGAAAAGAACATGGAAACTACTATATTCTTATTGTTTTCGGATATGTGTATATATATATATGCATGGTAAGTTCCATAAATAGGGGGACCCCAATCTTGACGCCCAAATACTACAATCATTGTCTTTGGGACCCCCCCAGAAGGAATCCTCAAAATGGAACCCCCCAGGTGAGTTTCCGTCCCGGCACACCCTTTAACCATCTCTCATGGCAAGCTAGAAGCGCTGAGAGTTCGAGCTTTCCAAGCATCTGGCTTAAGAAAAGCCATACGAGCTATAGTCTAAACTCCTTAAGGGGAGTTATATGGGGGAAACACATAGGGGAGCATTATAGAGGTTATTAGGGGGGGGGGTACAAGGAGTTTTGACTAGAGCTCATATAACCCCAATATACTATTTCCATTTATAACCCCAATATAAACCCTTAACCCCTCGGGTTAAGGGTTTTACCGTTGCCAATTCGCCACCTCAGCAAGGCTGGCGAAAGCATCATGTTATCTATACGGGATTCCTACCTGCATCAATGGCTGTTGGTCCGTGGAGTTTCAGGACATTGAGAAACCCTAAACCCTAAACCCATTGAGAAAAAGGAGACCTTTTTGAGAAAGCTCCTGAAGTTGTAAGGAGAGAGTGACTTAGTTCTGTGCAGTTGGCTTCGCCTACTCTTGGAACCTATCACATATCAGGGCAGGGCTACTTTTAGCCGAGTCCAGTGCTGTAGAGGGAAAGGGACCCTGAAATACTTGATACTGAAGAACTCCAGAGCCCAACACCCAAATCCTTAACCCCAATAGGGTTTAGGGTCTATGCATCCCCATACTCCTGTGAACCCTCTAAGCCAGAGTCCTTTGATTCCGCTACTTCGGAATACGAATGCGCATCTCCGGCTAAGCTGAGGCTAGGCATCCTTTTCCTGGGCATCGCGATAGTGCCGCCAGCTAAGCTTGGATACCTCTTTATGATTAGGGCTTAGGGTTTAGGGTAGTAGAGGTCCATCTTGAAGGTCCTGAGAATAAGCACAGTTTGAGGGGTACAAAAGGGGGGGGATCCCTATTTTAAACAACCTCCCATTCATGGATGTAAGGATGGTAGAGGGGTCCTCAGGGATAGTACAAAGTCATGTGTCCCCCTCCTTCTTCACAACAATCATGTTATCGGGGGCTGCAAGAAAAGCTTCTGTTTGTTGTTACTTATTCAGGCGGGGGAGAGGGGAAGGCGCAAGCCTGGGCAACCT